CAGGACAGTATTTTGCTGACAATTTAAATTTTTCAGTTCACAACCATGTTCATTCAGCAAGTAAATTAGCATCGTATTCTTAACCATGGATGCGTTTGTACCCAATGTTTTCTTTTTCCTTCCATTAGAGAAACCAGCCATCAATTGCTACTAAATTATCTTTTCCAGTTTCTTTTTCAGTTTCCACCAGCGGCCGAGCGGTAAAGTCGCTGAGCACTGGTAGTTCGGTCCGAGGTTCGATCCCCGCGAACGGGCTGGCTGCATGGGTGTTTCGTGGTTTTCCCCATGTGTAACGTGTATATACGAGCCAGTTTCCCTTAGAAAGTCCTCCACGAAGCATCCCTCTCCTTAGGCAGATAGCCCTAGTGTGCTTTGTCATAATTAAATACAAATACACACCAGTTTTTAAGGATAATTTTTCAACTTTCTGTTGCATTAATTGGCAGTTGACTGCCACATTGTTTTCATGAATATTTATAAATCAAATTTTCAGTGCCTTCTCAACAATGTGATCATTCCTGTTAAGCATCCTTTTCATGTTTTCGTTTCTAGTCTTCTTTGACTTGCAAACAGTATTTTCATGTATCTGCAAACTTTTGCATAGCAGGGCTTGAAAACTATTTAACTCAAAATCAGTATTCCATTGGTCATAGCAGTTTAAGATGTCAACTTTATCCTTCAAATAATTTCCCTTTTTGTCCTCCATGGGAAAAATGACTAAACAGGATAAAAAAGACGCCTTTCCTAGAATAAAATATACATAAAAATGTAGAACTCAAAACAAATGAAGAGATATTTTGGCTCGAAAAGCAAGTCATTTACAACCGGTTACGTTAAACTGGTTAGACGAGTAGACCTTCCTAGAACTTGGAAAACGGGTTTCTTTGTACATGCTTGCCTTAAATCGCTGCTTGGCGATATGTCTGTGTCATCTAACGACTTCTATAATCTATTTCGAGGTGTGGCTATTAGATATTACGTGTCATCCTGCATGCAACTTTAACAGTTCAACGATATGTTGTTGGCACCCTTGCGTTACCCTCCTTGGCACGCCATCCTGGAGTCATTTTCCAAGAGGATAATGTTAGACCCCCGTAAGGCTTGAATAACTTTAAATTGTCTCCTAGCTGTTGATACTCTTCTTTGGCCAGCAAGGTCACCAGATGTTTCGCAAAGCGTACATGTATGGGATATGGTAAGCCGCCAGATCCGGGCATCCCGAAATTTCGCAAGTCTGGGGCAACAGTTGAGGAATACCTGCCAGAATGTATCGCTGGTTGAGATTAAAATCTTTATCACTCCTTACATCAACGTTTACAAGCATGCATCATCATCGGGGGTTTCATAAGTTACTGATTTGAACATTCAATGTACGGTTGCTAGCCCTTGATGAGTTTTATGCTTCAATTTTTAATCTTTTCATTACCTGTGTATAAGCTTTACGCATATTTAATTTCAATAAAAACAGTCACTTTGTTAATGGAGCTTCTTTTTTTTTCAAATGTGTATATTACACAAGGAGCTCAGAAAAGATAGTTATAAGCTGTTTTTTTTTTCCCACATTAAGTATTAATGCTAGATAATCTTGCACCTTTCTTGCGAAAGAGTGTATTATACAAGGGACTCAGAAAAAATTGTTATAGGTTAGATTTTCCACATTAACTATTAAATCTAGATAGTCAGATAGACTGGCCCCTAATCTCCTCAGGAAATTCGTTTACTAGGCATTACTTCCCAACCAACGCGTGCTTAGTCGCAAAAGATTATGTATTGACCTAGTTATCATAATTTACCACTATTCTTTCCTTTCATTTCTTAATGAAGTTTTGTCTGATATTCAGGATTAGCTTAATTAGCATAAACAAGATGATAAGATTTTCAACTAATCATTTCCTGTTTTTAGATCCACATTTCAGATTTAGAAGCATTTGCATTATTTTACGCAATTTTAAATGAGCTGATATTCTTTTAAATTCATATGATTAGTTTCCTAGCTGAGTCAAAGTCTGTATTAATTTAAAAATATCCATCAGTTTGATGCTAGGATAAATATTTATACATGAAAAAAAAAGTTTTAACCATCTGTTAATTCTAGTGCAAATGTATGTTAAATTAAAGCTTTTAAACTCCTGATTTCTCAAGATATGAGATTTCTTAAAAAGTCTTATAAATCCATATTTTAAATGATGAAGTAATGTTTACTAAAATATAACTTATCCAGTTTGTAAGTAAAATTGAGTAAAATGCACCATTAAGCTCGGATTTTATTTAAGTAGTCTGGCAAACAATTTTTTTTTCGTGAAGAAGAGGCACAGGTAAATCGCCCTCGAAATCGATAGAGTTTTATTCAAAATCTAAGACAAACTAAGGTTACATTTTTGCTTAATTTTAAATTACACTGGTCCTTAAAATCAACGGATAATGAAGGAAATAAAAGGTAACTGATACTTTGTAGAGATTTATATATATTTTAACTAATAATTTAAAGTTTAAGTTCAAACTTTCCTATAAGCCTTCATTCCCTTAATTGTCAGTGCCAGAATAGTTAAATTTTGTAGCGCGCGTGAAGGAATGCAAATTTCTACTTTGTAGAATGTATTTAAAAGCCGAGTTTCGGTAGGAGAAAAAGAGAGTTCGGCTCTAGCCGCCGTCTCTCCCGTAGGTACATTTACTTATTGCTGGTTCAAGTGGCTTAGTTGCATTTATTTGAGGCTACTAGCTTCGAAGGGGGTTTAAGTTACGGGATCTCGCTAAGCCCTATAGTCTAGTTCTATCGTTTGTTAATATCTTCAAATTTTTAGTTTCGTTAATTAATTTTCAGTTACCGCCCAAGCAGAGGCGAAGTTTGTTAGCGTCGAGTTGACGCATTGTAAAGTTTCAAAGATTTAATAAAGGGTACTTTAACCCTTCTCTTGTGTAGTTCCCCGCTATTCCAGTTTCAGACAGAAGTTCACCTATTGGACTCTACAACTTAATGAAAAATTATTAATAGAAATTTGTACAAAACCATTAGTTAACATAAATTACAATGTCTGGCAGTAGATTATTCCAAAAATATTGCATTTAAAAGTAAATTTATGGAAATTGGAAAATGATCGAAAAATTAACTTTTGTGGAAAACAAATTTCTTTAATAAGGTACAATGGTGAGCTCGGACAGATATGCATACCTCGCATCTTGATTTCATAGACGTTATCAAAGTGTTGATTAAGTCTTGTGGAATTGCATGCGGCTGTTCTAAAACTGCACTTTCAGTTGCTGGAGAATCCGCGGCGGAATATGGCACCCGAAGGACGAAATTGAGCGCCCAAAATCATCCCACACATGCTGAATTGGGTTTAAGTGCGGTAAGTAAAGCGGCCAATTTACTCGAGTGCAAATCCATTTTGTTTGCAAATATTCTGACACCACATATGCCCAATGAGGTCAAGCATAGTCATCCATTAGCAAAAACTCTGAGCCAACAGCACCCCTAAACAGTGGGATTCCAATACCTCCTCCACATATCTCCGTGTGGATACAGAATTCCTTGAACGATATGCAGCTCGCTGCGGCCATTTGTCATGATTACTTTCCAAACTACTAAACGGCGATTGCGGAAACGGGATATTTCACTGACAAGGGAAGGCCAGTTAAGTATTCCTTCCGCTCCTTCAGATCAAAATACGCCTAGAATCTTGGTTCAGACTATGTCTGGACTCATCAATAAACAATACTCGGGCGCAGTCTTCTTGTCAACGTTGAACATGACGACGGCACCAGTTTACACGGGCTTCTCTGGAAGCTCGAATGAATGGGACTGGGACACAAAACATGGGTTTTTTCCGCATACAGTTCAAGCTCATTAAGCCTTCGTGAAACAACAGAACGACTAATTTGAGTTCCTGTGGTAGCTTGAAGGTCTAAAACCAAAGATCTCTTGTAATCGCTTCGCGGTTTCTTCGAGCCGATAACGACAGAAAACGGTTTTCTGATGCAATTATTGCTCTCGGTCTTCCTGAACAGACTGTCTATCAACTGATCCAGTGCTTAAAAAGAGGCTCTAGTCTCTTAATAGGATACTTCGAGGGATGTTCAAATCTTGGACGACCTCCATGACCTTCACTTAAATTATGTTTTGAGTTATAACTATTGAATACTGATTCCTCTAGGAAACCAAATTCACTTTAAACAATACCAATATGCGTCCATTGCGCACCACATTGTCAGTCACCGAATCCGCCTATTTCCGTCATTAATGTGTGCGCGGAAGTGCAATTTTGTGGTCAATTGTAGTTAATCAACTCAACATAAATCTCGTATTTGCAGCTTTGGATATTGGTTGCAACATTAACAACGTGAGTATATTTTTTCTCATTATCCTTTAGTTTTGATGACCAGTGTAGTTTCGCTATATTATTGCACTGATACAGCAGAAATATGAGATATGCTCTAAAAGCAAATTGTTTGGCTATACTAATGCCTTGATAGCATTGAAATGTATGATGTCTATTTTATTTCATCTCTGAATAGGATTTTTTTATGCTAAATTATTTTAAAAGTTTGTGACTATTTAGAGAAATATTAAACCATGAATGTGAATTAACACATCATTTCTCAGTGCCGTTTGATTGTATAAAATTTAAAGGAGTTGGGAGCAACAATTTTTACACTAATATTTACACTACTACTTTACATTAAGTACCCTTTATACATTTAAAACTAACAGAAATTTTGTTTAATTTTATTCAAGTAGTACCATATATTCTACATTTTATTGACTGTACTTCTATAAAAGCACTCACGATCAGCTATATTTAATTTAATTAATTATTTTCAAAATATAATATATAAATAATATTTCCGTTTTCTGTTTTTCGTTGTTTATTTCGTAAAGCATTTTATAATAATTAAATCGACAACTTTGGTTCTGTGATATGATATTCAGTATTCGATGACGATGAAAACTTGATTGTCCTGAATCGAATCGATAAATGAAATTCGTCGGTTGATGCGAACAAGCTCCCATCACTCTTTAGGGATCCGTGTCAGAATCAAACAGTACGACAAAGTCAAAGGTTCGCTTTAATCCAGTTTTCGTCCGGCTTCATCGTGTTTGTTTTCGGTATGAGCGCCGCTGTGCAGGGAGTACCCCGACCTGCTCAGCCCATGTTAGGCGGAGGTGAGTACATTTTTCAGTTTATATATAAGTATTATTTTAAAAAGCAGATCTTGATAAGAGAAATCTGCTCCTTCTCCCGGTTAACAAGGCGATCAATAAAGCAAGCTGCGCGTTTTGATAAGAAATAAACACACTAGCAAGTATCGACCCATGCTAAGCGAGGAAGATTTTTTTCCTCGATCTGCAAGGCAAAATTAATTATTCAATATTTTTTTTCATTTCATAATTTAAAATTGTTTGACAAGAGAGATTGAATGAACTGCTTTGAATAGCATTTTATTTACAGAACTGTTCACATGAAGCGCATAAACTTGCAGAAAACTGACACTGATTCTTGCAAATTAGTGTAAGTATAGCATACAATATTATATGCATGTGATTAATTTAAAAGAAATTTTTCACATGCAAAAAGGTACTCGAATTACAAGAATAATCTTATACAATTAAAAATATTCGTGTTTGCGCGTGGGTGGGTGGGCAAGTCACCCTAATACCATTTTTAAGGTGAGTGAAAGATCTCTCAGTTATTCTGAAAGCGATAAAAATTAGTAAATTTTCAATATCATTTACGACAGTCATATTCTTAAATCTATGGACAGTTAATGGTGCAAGAAACAGCCACAAACGTATGCGCATTAAATACTGCCAAAAAAAATAGAAAAAAAAGCGCCTTTCATTATAACAGCGCATTCATATTTCCAAATAATTACTTCCTTTTTGCTAATTTTCTCTTAACATGATATTTTAAAATAGTAAAATATAAGGCCTTTCTCTCATGTATGGTTTGGCTGTTCGCAGTTTTGGATAATAGTTTTAAGAACATAACTAAAGCTTTCATGCCTCTCGTACTCTTATTAATTTGAATTTAAAGAGTAAACTTTTTAATCCTGACATAAGTAATACAAGTATTAATTAATACATGTATTAATACATGGACAGCTAGGAAAGTAAGATGAAATTTTAACTGGAAGTATTTCTAAATAATATAGGTTATTTTCTTAAAAATTTCAGAAATTTAATGATTAAACAATAATAATGTATAAAAATGTAATTAATTTGCTAAGTATAAATCAAGAATTGAGATTTAAGAAGCAAATTTAACTAGAAGCATTATTTAAGTTGGTCATTTAATAATAAGAATGTACTCAATTTCTGAAAAATTAGCCTTAAATACTAATTACAGAATGTGGTAGCTTTCTTAATACTATCAAGAAAATTTCGTGAATGTTTAATAAGGTTGGATTCGCTTGAATTAGGTTCTTAAATCATTATTAAGCATTTTATTTCTAATATAGTAAGTGGATACATTAGCTAGCTGTTTTAAAATTATATTTTCAAGTATTCGAATTTTGCAAAATTAAATTTGACTGTTCTTTCCTAATTTAGGTATTGTATGGAGTCACACAGGACAATAATTTGTTTCAAAAAATAATTTTACCAGAAACTCCTACATATTTAATTTCTTGATCTTAAATAACATTTCTCGTATAGAAAACACGTTGCTGATGTAAATTATTCTGATCTCATTAAAAAATAACAGCTTAAATTTAATTTTTGTTTCCTTACTGATACCATATTTCTTAATACTGCATATATAAAATGATAAGTAACTAAAATTGTTTATGGTCAAGTATGAAAATATTGAAAATATTTAAAAGGCACTAAAATCTTATAGCACTAACTAACTGGAGTGAGGGGTTCCTTCAAAATTCTTTGGAAGTAGTATAATACAGTAACTCTTATTGCAATAATAATTTACTCAAAATTAATACTCAGCTTGTTCGATGTATACGATAATTGTAATAGCATTAGACATCATATTAATTTAGTTTTATTCAGTTACATTCCTTTTGCTATTGTAATTTTATTCTATTCGCGTTTAATGCGTATTATATCATTTCAAAGAATGTTTCATGATTTCAACTACATGTCATAAATTTTAGAATTTCGTTTTCATTTCCAAATAGTGAAATGGGGAGCTAGCTTCTTTCTTAAGTAACAAGTATTTTATCGAGATCTAGTTTTTAATACTGCAAAACACTACTTGCTTTAGTAATCGTGGAGGACTTTCTACAGAAAATTGGCTGATGTTCACGGTACACACAAAGACAAAAGTATGAAAGCTTTTAATTCTCGAAATCCATCAAAATATTCTTCAACAATTTTAGGAAATACAATTCTAAAAATATTTATATGTTTAATTGAACCTTTATAGCAGAATAACATGAAAGGAATAGCAGAATATCATTTATAGCAGAATATCAGTTTCTGTATTTTTCATTACTATGTATGTAAATGAAAAAGATTTTTCACAAATATCCGCTATTGTCAGTTATTAAAACTTAAATAAGTTCTTCAGAACATATTCTTTATACAGAGAATTTAAAAATTCCTATAAAGACATCGGAAGAATCTTTTAATTTAACTTATCTGGCGTTAAATCGGACAACTGATAATTCAATATCTGTAGCAGATTAAATGGATTTAAAACGCAGAAATTGATTATCCGCATAGTTTCATTATCTGTTGATTTTTAACTTCGAAAGTTTGAAATTTCACTACGAATATAAAGACTACTTTTGATATGAGGAAATTAAGTTACATCAAACTTTCTTCTGTCAGCAATGCGTGTTATTTACTGAGCAGAAAAAATATTAATCAGATCCAAATTTAACACATCAGTAGGACAAATAGCAGTGGGGATATGTTACATTTCATTCACTTTTAATTCAAACGAAATACATCATCAGGATTTGCAACTCACAGATTCAGATCGAAAGAAATGACTTCATAAAATGAAATAACGCACATGACTGAGCAAAACTTACAACAAAAAATACAATTCTTTAAGAAAAATAAAGAAAATGAAATAACGCATATAGCTAAGCAAAAAAATACAATTCGTTAAACAAAATTCAAGATTTCAAATAATTTTTTACCTCTTATTTTTTTTTTTTTTTCTATATAAATACGGGTGCCGAATTGTAAAATTCCTTGGTATGTAATTTTGGAAGCTTAAGCTTAAGGTATCTTCTTCTTAAGTAAGGAATTTTCTCTTTTCCTATCGTATGACTTCGTGATGTAATTGAAAGCCCGTCTGGCTAGTATGAAAGCCCGGAATTCGAATCCCGGCAAGGGCATTATTGATTTTTTACGTTTCTCGGTCTAAAAAAGCTAATGTTTCTATATGTGGCTCCTGAACTAAATTATCGATGGTAATTCGTTTGGCGACTAGGTTTCGTCCGTTTTCAGTCTCCCGTAAAGTGAGGGAGAATGTAAAAAATTGTCTCCTTAGTTGTCTCGTATTGTTTTTATGTTGTACTCATAATGCTCGTCCGTCTAATTATCGGGAAGTCGAATCGGGTCGTCTAATTATCGGGCCGAATCCCGATGAGAGCATCTCATTTTCGTGTCTGACGCTTTGAAATAAACTTAATGACTCTACATTCCTCTTTCCGGTTTAAAACTTCCTTATTTTAATTTTCAGTTTGAAATTAAACTTTTGCAATATTTATTTTATATATGTTCTCTTAATTTTCATAGAAAATTCTTATTACAGTTATTACTTTAATGGCATTTTTTCCCCAACCTGGGGCCCAAACCGTCCACAGACGTTGGCCAATACTGAGGCCAGAAGCTGTGGGCCACTTTTGTCTCCTATGAGGCGACAGATAAATACACCCACGCCTTCTCCGAGATTCGAACCCGGACCCTTTAGATCAGTGGCGTAGCTAGTGTGGGGCAAGGGGGGATATCTGTCCCTGGGCGCAGCATCCAGGGGGCGCCAAATTGATGTTACAAAATTTTAGAATGAAATGTTTTCCATTCTTGTCACACACAAAGGAGCGCAAAATCTTCAGTTGTCCCCGGGCGCTGAAAACCCTAGCTACGCCTCTGCTTTTGGTATTTCAATCGACTCCTCTAACCACTATACCATCTGGGCGACAACTTTAATAACAATAACGATCGTTTTGGCTCTTATGAGATAATATCGAATTCCTTCACATTAAATCAGAGCCTATAGTATACAGAGACAGATTCTAAAGATGAGACATTGATGCATTCAATATAATGATGTGACCTAATTATAAGAGATACACATTCATATCGCACAAATGTAATTTTACTTTCCTGATTATTTTATTTAAAACAATTTGCCGACAGATTGTGTTAAATAGGAAGAGTATAATTAATGAGAATACACTGATGAGCGAAAACATTATGACCATCTCTATATTTTTCAATGAACTTGCCTGGATGAGGTGGAGAGCACCTGATTATATCGGAATGGTATTTAACTGCTGTTGGGAGAAGGTAAGGAATCGTTCTTGCACTTACTTTTGCGAGTGATGAGAAAGGTGTTGATTTAAGAGAATTTGATTGAGGTCAGACTGTAACTGTCCGAAGACTCGGAAGGAGTATCTCTGAAACTGCAGGACTGGTAGGCTGTTCACGATCCTCCGTTGTTAGTATTTAGCAAAGTGAATGAATGACGGTGAAACCAGCAGTAGACGCCAAGGTGTTAGACGTCACGCTTCATCAAAGAAAAAGGACGTCAAAGACTATCCCGCTTGGTACAGTAAAATCGCGCAAGGCTATTGCTTAGCTGACAGCCCAACACATTGCAGGTCCAAGTGCAAGTGTTTCGTCACACACAATTCAGCGGACACTGTTGAATATGGGACTACGCAGCAGACGTCCCACTCGTGTGCCTCTGTTGACCAAGCGTCATTGTCAACTACGCCAACAGTGGGCCCGGGAACATCGAGATTGGACCATAGATAACTGGAAGACAGTTGATTGGTCGGATGAATCACAATTTCTCATTCATCACATCGATGGTCGTGTCAGGGTACGCTGTCTTCCAGGCGAACAGTTGCTCCCTTCCTGCACGCAGGTCATGCAGAGGCTTATGGTAGCGCTATTATGCTTTGGGGGACGTTTCATGGGGGGCTCAGGGATCCTTAGTTGTGGTAGCACAGATCATGAAAGCTGCGGAA